TAAAATACAAAAAAAAGAAAAACAACAAATAACAGGACTAATGAGAAACAGCGCGGATAAGCAAGCACAAGTTTGGTAGATCAAAAAAAAACCTGCTAAATTATTTGCGCTAACTCTTATCAGCCTTGTTATTTGTTAATTCTTTTTATATTTTAAAGATTGAAAAGCTTGTTTTAATTATATTATTGCTTATTGCTTATTTATTATTAATATGATCACAACTCGGTAAAAAATTTTTTATACATGAATATATGTATAAATATGTATAAACATACATAAATATTCATAAACATGTATAATCGTATATGAAATATGTCCATACATATTCATACATTTCTTTTTCTTTTGTAAAATTATTTTTTAGTGTAATAGAAATAATAATAGTAATAAAAAACGTTAAAAATAATTAAAAGGATTATTTTCGCATTGTTCGTTTAAGAAAAAAACAAGTTTATTGAAAATGTATAAAGAAATGTTCATACACAATTATGCGTAATTTTATATATAATTATACATAAATAATTTTCTTTAAACTTAATTTTTTTCTAAAACAAACGGTACTTATAAAAATTACCCTTTTTTAAATGTTTTCATATTACTATTATTATTTCTATTACAATACACTAAAAAGTTACAAAAGAAAGAAGGATATATGAACATGTATAGATATTTCATAGATGATTGCATGTTTACAAATATTTATATATGTTTCTACATATTTATACATATTCATGTATAAAAAATTTTTTACCGGGAATTAAGTTATCCTACTGAGTTTATTAGTACGCGGATATGGTTAGAAATTAGCTGCGTTCAGCAGAGAAAACAGCTTTGCAACTGTTGTAAAATTCTTCTATGTCTTTGGCTTGTATATTTAAATCCATAAGGAATCAAAAGCAAGAATCAATCGTATTAAAGAATTTTATAATAGTCGAAAATTTATTTTCTTTGCAGTTATTAACGTATTATATTTGCAGTGTTATTGCACATTTATGATGTAATGGAGAAATACACGGGTGTAGGTAGATAACTGCGAATAGGCACGAATAAATGAAAATACGGGTAGGTAGGATAAATATGGAGTAGGTAGGAACTATATAGGTAGGATGATAAATATAGACAGATAGGATTACACATATCATACGTACATACTTGATAATTGGAAATGAGGGATTAAAAATTGAATAAAATTTTTAATTAATTTTAAGTTTTATTTAATTATCAGCATCTCGTTCTAATTATCGAATATGAAAATGAATCAAATTAATTTCAAATTTTATTAAATTTTCAGCTATCCTGAAATTAAACTTTTTGGTAAAATTCTATATACATGTACAAATTACGTAACGCGTTAATATTGTAATTAACTTTATTGTAAATAAATGTATGTATAATATATAGATACGTAATCTATATCCAGATGAATGCTATAATCATACTTACTTTTGCAATTTGCACAACGATTACCCAGGAAAAAATATTACATATATGGACATATTTTACATATAATTATATATGATATATAATTATATATGAAACATTTTTTCCCGGATTATTAATTAATTATACATATACTGGAATATATATACATATATCCGTATTGAATATTTATTCAATACAAATAGCAACATTTATCTTGTCGTAGTAAACCAAATTGTTGCGTAATTGATGTAAATTATACGAAATCGACAAACATATAGTAACAAAAATTGTTTATTGATATTGTTATTGATTTAAAATTTTATAAATATTTAATTTTAAAACTTCTTTTTAATTTATTTTGTATATTAAAAAGTCATTAATAATTTTAAGTAACTTCTTATTAAAAATTTGATGTTTAGAATAATCGTCATTTTTTCTTCGTATTTAATACAAATTAAATAAGTCATAAAGATTAGAGTTTTGACGGCAATGATTAAATATTAACCTCTTACTTGCTTTTCGACATTTATATTATAGAGTTACAAATAATTTAGTGAACAATTATTATTCAAAGATCTCATATTGCAAAGGTCTCATATCACTATCTCTCGCGTCAGATGAATGCCGGTAATTACATATCGATGGAAAGTCGAAATTATTTTCATCATGAAGAATTATTCTTCGTCACTTTTCGTGAAGTCTATTCGCGAAGTCTAGTTTGGAAAAATCTCTTCGGAGATTTTTGTATAGGATTGGAATTAATCCGGGTTTTCTGCAGTTACTACTGTTAGTAATAATTTTGTTAATGAATCAATGACAATTGCTATATATTTTAAAGTCAAATTGCAAAATTAATTTAGTGTATATTTTAGCACAATTTTAGTACAATTTTCGCTTTCTTCGTTTTATTAAATATTTTCCCACTAATAATAATAATATTAGTAATAGTGCTGTCTTAATAATAATAGGAATTTACTATATGATTGAATGGATTTAGTATTATATGATTGAATGGATATATAATTATTATTTGTATAAATTCAAATTATTAAGTAAACAAATTTAAATTTTATACAAATAACTTGCTAATTTTTCGATGATTGTTCTAACAAAAATATGGTTATGAATGTATATATTTAATTTTTTAACTGTTGTTTTAAAATTATTTTTAGGTTTTGGACATCCCGCCATTGCAAAATATTTTTATTTATTAATTTATACACTTTTGTAATTAATGTATACACTTTTCTATGATAAAATACATGTAGATATTATGAAATTATATTTAACAAATATTGATTTTTGTTGATATATAATTTTTTTTTTAAATTCTTTATAGTCTTTTAATAATGTTATCGTGATTACATGAATTAAATTAAAAATGTGTGAATACAAAAAATTCAAGATAAGTCGAATGAGTATTCTTATATTAGCGGGATATTAAATAATTGTAATTTTTAAAAAATAAAAAATTGTTAAATTTTATATAATAAATTTTTCAGTATAAATGTTCTTTAAAATCTCATTATTATTGGGTTTGACCTATCTTGAACAGTTGGTACCCGAGAAACTTTTGTATTTATACATATAAAAAATTACAATAATGCATGTATTTTGTTATTTTTAAATATATTCCTTCGTAACCATTATTCCATGAGAAAATTATTTTATTCGTTTATTTTTAATAAGAGAATATATTTTCTCATGAATTTTAATATTATATTAATGTGATAAAAATGATAATTATAATTGACATACTATCAAAATTATTACTATCGTAAATAGTCTGAAAGATTCGAGATGCACACCCTTCTGTAACAAGATTACTGATATTTGACGGATGCTTAACTTTTCTTTGCAAATGGATCTTGTGAATTTGATGTAAAATCAGAATAGATTAAATTTGTTCTCCACAAAAGATTGTTCTTCTTTGTATCAGACCAACCAGCGTACAAGACGGAGGGACTTTGATATGATGAATATGATGAAATTATTGAGATAGCTATCTTGAACGCGATGAAAGTGCTATTATATATAAATATATTAATGACTTTTTATCCCGATATTATTAAGTTTTTTTTGCAAATTAATAAAAAAAAATAATTCGCTTTTTTTGGGGAATATTAAAAAAGATCCAATTTTTGTCTAAAAGAATGTAAATAAAAGAAACAGTGTTTTTGTAGATTTTGACTTCTTGAATAATATGTGATATGAATAATATGATAAAATTATTAAAAAGTTCGTGGCACTTGGGAAACACCTTGAAAAGTAAGTAAGAATATTGAAATTTGTTCATATATCATATTCATACACAATTTTCAAGGTGTTCCCTATCGATCCTCAACTTTTTATTAATATTATCATATTCAGGAAATCAAAATCTACAAAAAATGCTACATCATTATGGGTAAAAATCGGTCTCTTTTTAACATCTTCTTTTGTGTAATGGTATGTATTTTCGTATAATCGACGTTTTCGTATAATCTCACATTACTAAAATTTTTTAATTATGCTTCTATATTGCTCTTATATTTATTTTATTATATTTTGAACAACATTTATAATTGTATATTGTTTTGTAAATATTGTTTTGTAATTATTATAATTATTATAATTATAACATCAAATTGCATAAAGGATTACAATAAATAATAACATTAAAAAAGCTATTACAATTTTATT